CAAGTTACTATTATTTAAATACAGAACATATGTCTGAAGGATGAATTTGTTCCCAAATGCACATTTACACAACATTTTCAAACACACTTTCAAAAAATTTGCAGTTTTATGAATCATAACTTCCCCTACTTCAACATATGTTAAGTAATGCATCAAAACCATGCACAGTAGTCCATTTGACTATCATCTTAATGATACAAATTGTTGTGAAGTATTGACTGAGTCACTTTTAACGAAATTTGGTAAAGGCACTCAGGAATAATCTTTTGAAACTTGAAACTTTTAGCTCATTATCTTTTCAATCAGTGTAGAGTTATCTGAACATTACTTACCCACCATTCTAGTGAATAAAAGATGACTCAAACACAATATACATAACTAATCAACTACTACTATGAAAGGCCTAGTCTTTTTTTATTACTAAGACCATTTGACTTTGTCCCCAGTTTCTAAAGAGTGATAAAATTTCCCAAAACCTAACTTGTTAGTAAATAGTAAATTAGTGATGAATAGATTCACATTTCATGCAGGTAAAAATTCACAACGTTGTTTTTTACAAGGATTCAGTCAATAAAAGGCATGAAGCAAAAACTGATTATGGGCCAATTCTTTCTATTTACCATCAAAACTTATATTGAACTTAAAATGTGTTTAAATGTATAGTATAGAATGATCAACATTATGCCATAAAGCTTGCAATGTAATTTTACTAACTTGTATACAGCAGTTGCTAATCCTGGAGCTAAGATCAAGTAATCTTCTCTTTCAAGTCAAAATTGTTCTGCAAGTTTTTCAGTTAAACATGAAGACTAAAAGTATAAGAAACTCTTAGATATACATGACTGTTTCAATTTAAGTATAGTGTGAGTATTAAATGTAATTATTTTTAAAAGTGATAGTTTAACACTGTTTGTTTATGTAACTGTTTTCAAATCATATGTTGTGTAGTTTAAATTGTTGTAAATTGGCAAATGTTGCATTATTGCATGATTTTACTTAAACTTTCCAAGTTTTTCTTGTTTTAATTGAATATTATTGCAACATAATATCTCGTAGTGTGTGGAACATTCTTGGCCTCTGTCAGGCTATAAATACGTGTCCCAAATGTAGTTCGATTGAGTTAGCTAGATAGATCTAGACTGCATAACCATAAAGAGCACATAGTGGCAATCTCTAAAGTGAATTGTCACAGATTGTATTATAATTCAGAGAAGAGAAGAAATAATGTCATGTCAATTTGGTTCTAAAGTAACTGAATCAACCTGTGTGAACTTTGACATAAAGAGACAGTTACTTAAATCTCTGGATACAACTGTGGTAACCAAAAGTGCAACATAAGGGAAATTATCACTGATTGTATTGTAATAACAGAGCAGAGAAAAATAATTTTCTTCTCAATCGTGTTCCAAAGTAACTAAACCAGCCTGTGTGGACTACTGATGATACGAGACAATTAATTAAAACTTCGGATAAAAATCTGGTAATTAATTGTGTATATATTATTATATAATATATTATTCTAAAACAAGTGGAATGTGTGCTGTTTGCTTATTGTTGAAATTTATCACCAACAAGTAAGTGGCACCTACTGTAAAGAATCCGGGTCATACATAAAAACCTGACACTAACAAGATTTTTATCATTTATTACAATACTTCACAACTGACAAAATTAAGTGCAAGTACACATCTTCCATTTTTGGAAATTCTTGGTTACCTACACTCGTTTCACCCTATCATGTGCTTATAACCAATCAGAAACACAGAATTTCCTCCACATGGTTTTCTAATCCTTTTCAAGGTGTTTATTTCTCAAGTTTAATCTTTTGTTTCCGATCTCTAAAGGAAGGAGCAAGAAAGAATGATCTTTGGAAAACAATATTTTTTTAGACCCAAATATAGTTTAGTTAGAAAACCTGATAAATTATAGTGGAAATCTGTGATATTGGTATTGTAATTTATAATTTTTTGTTATTTCAAAATGCATATGTGAAACCTAAAAAGTTATTTTGTTTTACATCCTCTACATGCAAGGTACAGAAAGCATGTAAAAACTTTTATACAATCACAAGTAGTAGAGATCATTGGTTTTTATACTTCTTTATTTACTGTTCTATGTTTTAAGAAAAATAACTGAAATTTATGGATTTATTTGTAAGTAGTAAAAGTATATATATACCTGTGTAATGTATTATAACCAAAATGTGATTGTATTTTACAAAAAACTGGTCCACTAGAACAAAGCCAAGACAGATCACTTTGTAAATGCCAGTATTACGCTATTCGATTTGGTAACATAAGATGCACATGCACTATGATTGTGACTTCTGTAATGTTAGTCAGACATGGCTGAAAGGTCAATAGAATAAAAATAATAAATAGATATCTAATGTTATGACGAACCTCGTGACCATTTTCTGCTTGTTATAGTTTGCATGCTATAACGTTTAAATTAGTAAGTGAATGTTAACAAAATTTGGCAGATAATCAGTAAACATTACAAGGCTTTCATATGAAAAATATAAGATTTTTTGATTAAGGTTTAAGGTTTTTTTAAGTAATGTTTTTTTCATGTCATTTCTTTGGAATATTACTATCCATCATGCAAAGTAATTTGGATTTTAAAATTATAAATACTTTTATGTATAAGAAAATTTCACATGCGAAATCTTTATAGCCTCCCGATAATTATCAAACATTTTTTAAGAAAAACTTAGTATTTTATCTGTTATTTTCATTATCAAATCTCTACTGTTTGGTCGATTGGATTGACCTCATAACCATCATAAAAAATTAGGAAATAAATATAAATTATGCTTTTTTCATTGTAGAATGACTATAAATTATAATGCTAAAACACAAATGTTTAGTCTAAATAGCTTAAATCTCAAAACATACATTTATATAAATTTATTATTTTTTACTATTTTGACCTTTTCAGCCATGCCTGGCTAACATTACAGAAGTTGCAATGACACAGCACACGTGCACTCATGTCACCATATCCAAGAATATAAAACTGGCCTTTACAAAGTGACCCGTCTTTGCTGTTTTTTAGTGGAATAGTATTTTGTAAAATACAGTCACATTTCAGTTATAATACATTATATATTTATATGAATTATTACTATTTACAAATACGCTCTTAAACTTATTTTTCTGAAAACATAGAACAATAAATGAAGTATAACAAACAATTATCTATTCTAGTTATAAACTTTGTACACATTTGTTGCTTGCCGTAAGTTGCTAAGCCTTATCAAATTTCGCATGTGGAAGATATGAAACAAAATATTTTTTTTTAGGTTTTATTTATACATTTTGAAATAACCGAAAAATCATAAATTACTATATCAATACCATAGAATTCCACTATAATTTATCAATTTAGTAAATAAGCTGTATTTAGGTCTAAAAAAAATTAAATTTCAAGCTCACTAAAAGTCTTACCTTACTGCTTGGATTCCGGCATAAAAAGAAAGAATTTGATGCCAGAATACTTCAAACTGGCTGAGAATGCCACTAGGGAGAAAATCTGAGCTTTTGATTGGTCATACACAGATAGTTAATATGACCGATAGACTGATAATATGATAGTTCTACCAGTATTTAAACTTGGATACAATCACTACTGTTGTGATCCTGATAATATAGTAGTTTGACTAATACTTAAGCTTCAATACAACAATCACTACAGTTGTGATCTTGATAATATGATAGTTCTACCAATATTTAAACTTGGATGCAACAATCACTACTGTTGTGATCCTGATAATATAGTAGTTTGACTAATATTTAAGCTTCAATACAACAATCACTACAGTTGTGATCTTGATAATATGATAGTTCTACCAGTATTTAAGCTTGGATACAACAATCACTACACTTGTGATCCTGATAGTATGATAGTTCTACCAGTATTTAAGCTTGGATACAACAATCACTACAGTTGTGATCCTGATAATATGATAGTTCTACCAGTATTTAAGCTTGGATACAACAATCACTACAATTGTGATCCTGATAATATGATAGTTCTATCAGTATTTAAGCTAGGATACAACAATCACTACAGTTGTGATCCTGATAATATGATAGTTCTACCAGTATTTAAGCTTGGATACAACAATCACTACTGTTGTGATCCTAATGATATGATAGTTCTACCAGTATTTAAGCTTGGATACAATAGTTCTACCAATATTCAAACATGAATAGGTACATGATGATTGTTATGATACTGTTCACGGTGATTCTTTTTTATTACAATATCTTTTGCTTCTTGTAGTACTTTATCATTGTACCAAGTTTTATTGAGAACAATTTGATGCTTTTTAAATGTTTGAATCAGATATGAAATAAATATTAATGACCATATTTTTGCTAAGTATCACTAACCAGCAGACAATGACAAAATGTATCTATTCTTACAAAGAATGATTTCTGGATGTCTGTGAAAAAATGCACATGCAAAACAAAAACAACCAATCAGTACCAAATTAGTGTATTACATAAGAAGAGTTAAATATAATGAAAGGGTTGTACATATAAAGATTCTAAAATTTGAATTTTATTCCTTCTTCCAAGCTTCAAAATCCTACCTCCAAACAGACTGGTAAGATATCTAATACAGTTTTTATGTTGTGTTTATATAGGATGGCCAAAACTGACAGTATTGATTTTTTTACCACTAACAAACACAATCAAGCATACAAAAAATCTTAAATATGCTTTTTACAGTAACTACACAAAGTATATTAATTCCAATCAGAGTATAGTTACAAAAAAAGCTACCTATTTTTTTTATATATGTGTATGTAAAATGTGGCTCTTTTACCCACAATTTGACTTAATATGCTTCTGATGACCACTCAAAATCTAAGATGCATGGAACACCAAAACATTGTTTCAGATACTGTGCAAAATATATAGGGAGAAGTTCCTAACCAAAGACAAAATTTATGTTGCACAGGAAAGATGGAAAGTGAATGTCTGCCATACCATTACTGGGGCTGCTTAGGAAAGATAAGAAGCTGTCCTGAAATTTCCTCAAACCTGCCAGTGGATCATCTGACTGTGTTCCAGCAGAGGAGGAGGAAGAAGACATGGTTGATACTTTTGGAGGAATGGAGTTTGCCTCTTCTTCTGCATTATCAGAGTTATTGTTATGACTGTGCGAGTAGTGATATGAAAGTCCTGGACGACTCTTGTACCGGGCACCACAGACTAAGATAAAAAAATTACATTATTAATATAAAACTTTCATACTTCAATGACAAATAAGGGGGGGTTAAACCCCTCAACAATCACATACAGGATTGGGCAAAAATGACTGTACAATTGTTTCATTTAGATTTTAAAACATAGTTTCATTTCTAACATCTTACTCTAAAACAAGAAAAACTAAATTGGCTACAATTTTCTTTGTAATATTTCTTTAGTACCAATGTTATAATTTTCCTATATTGAAATGTATTTCTGACAGGTATTTTACCTTCGCTCACATAAATAGTTATTCTCCTTCAGTGCTGCTCTCTATATGCAACAAATAAAAGTTAGCACATGCCACAAGCCTGGAATCTCCCCCATCTGGAATTGATCGATTACAATCAATCTCACATGCACATCATCATGAGTCAACCCTCCACCAATACGAGTGTGACATACTCTCTTGATGCATGTGACTCCCTCTCTTCAATTCAACCAAACTATCACTTCGAGTTTTAGCAGAAAATGGAAGCACAGGTTTTCAGTGGGGAGGAAGATGAGGAAGTGTGAGAGAATAGCTAGAATCCCACACTGAAAAGGTGGAGGGACCAGTGCAAAGGTAAGAAAGAAGCATCCTTCAAAGCATCTGAAGGATACTCCAAAAAAGATTTTAGGAGTCAAAGATCATATGTGAGAGACCACCACTTCTGAACCAGATATATTTTTTTGCTCATTGGGAAAAGATGTTGCATATATGGGAGGAAAATAGAAGGAACACATCCAAATGGGAGAGAACTATTGCAGGATTATGATCCGAACCATACATTATATATTATAGTTATGAAACTCAATCCTGGAAAACATCAAAGTGGGTAAGATTAAAAGATGTGCTCCTAGGTGTAGAGTGGCTAGGGCATGACAGACTATACATGGCAAGTCCACTATATCCAAAACCCATGTCGCCGGGAACTGACATCCAAGTGGGGGTAGGAAAGAGGATCATACCAGCAACAAGCCAACAACAATCCAAAACTCAGCCATCTGGTGGGGGTAGGAAAGAGGATCATACCATCTTTACCTCAAGTTCATAAGACTGGAGGGAATCTCGTACCCACGATCCATAAATGTCCACATGATGTTGTTTTATAAGAACATGAAATAATGAATGATCAATCAGGGAACCAGACATGTGGCATTGAAAAGATGTCTGTGTAATGTAAATCATCTTACTCAAATATATAATGACAGGAACCACCCCAAACCCTACATGGCTTTATAGTGCAGCTTTTACTAGTTTAAGTATACCTGGACAGGCACTCGCCACAGAGAGGGATCCATAAAGAAAAAGAGAGGGAGATGCCCCTGAAAATAAGAGACCACACCACTTCTGAACCAGGTATATTTTTTGCCCATTGGGAAAAGATGTCGCATATATGGGAGGAAAATAGAAGAAATACATCCAAATGGGAGAGAACTATTGCAGGATAGTGATCCGAACCATACATTATATATTATAGTTATGAAACTCAATCCTGGAAAACATCAAAGTGAGTGAGATTAAAAGATGACATGGTTGACACTTTTAGAGGAATGGAGTTTGCCTCTTCTCCATTGACTGGAAATATACTGGTAGTAAGCCTCCTTCAGCCAGGTTTGACCATGAATGAGCATCCGTCCACTGTTAGCTCATGTTGATCGCTCGTCTAGAGCAGCGTCTTATGTGACTAAGGAGACCGACCCGAGAGTGATAGTCTCGGTTGCAGAGGTCACATATATATACTAAAAGGTAACTTACCCAGTCACAGTCTCATAAAAGAGAGAAGAATAGCAACAGGTGGATAACAGTACCCTGACAAAGAAAAAACAGCTACCCAAAGTAAAGAATGGGAGATGAACATATGAGGAGTAGTTCCAGTGCTTGAGAGACGAAGTACCTCCATAGCAAGACAGTTTGGATATGCAGGGAAAATGGAAGGTGCATGATCTTAGTGAAGACATGAGGAATCGATGATGGAAAGAAGGACACAAGGAACAAAAGGCCAATCAAAATCAATATCCAAACCCAATGGGTCAGGGATAAAGGAAAAAAAAACAACAGAAATGCAGTGGAGTAAGGGAAGGAAATCATGAGAGATGGATAAAATGGAAAAACCTTGAAAACAATGATGCAACCCAAAGCATGTACTGGACCTACAAGGTCATCTGGAACCAACAGAGAAGAAATGTGGAAGATAGTAAGAAATGGAAAAGGTGAATGGAACATACCACATGAGTCACAAAATGAGTTAAATCAAAATGATCCAGAACAAAGGAAACAATTGAGCCAAAGCAGCAGAGAAACCCAGAATTGTACAGGCCAAGAAATTAATTATAAAGACCAGAACCAGAGTGACATAGATGAACAAACATTTTGGAGGAAAAAACTGATAAATGAGAAAACTAACATGAGAAACTGAACTGGCAAGGGGATGATGAACTAGAGGCCAAAAACAAAAGAGAGAATTACTTGGGAATTGACAAAAACTTCATGTGGAGGAGTACCCCAGAGAAGGTAGACCCATCAAAAATTTGGAGAAAATCGAGAGGTCACTCCTATGGAAAAAATATAACGGGACTGGAAAGGCAATAAGCTATAAAGACAAAAACGTGGAATATGACCCTCCAGGAGACGCACGTGAAGTGCGTGGTTTAAAATAGGGATATCCACTGTCTACCACAAAAGAAACAAAAAAGAATGTCCCCTTGACAAGTAATAGAAGCCACCACCATCGTATAGTCGAAATGAAATATGATTAGTTAAATCCAGATAAAATTAAAAGAGTGAACGAAAGCACACTGGACTGAATGAAGTACAAGGGTGTGAAGGGAATAAAACCATTTGCCCGGAGACCATAATCCTGAAGCCTCCTACAGATCGAACCACATCCCCTACCGATTGGAGATGAGCATCAGGGAAAAGAAACATTCCAGAAGAGGGGAAGAAAGCAGGAAACCAAACATCATAGGGGATATGAAAATCTATCAGCTCATATAGAAGATGATGGAAGGAAGAAAAGTAACTCTTTCAGCGTTGGCATGGTCCCTCGGACCTCCTCGTAACCATCTTGTGCTTGTTATAGTTTTCAAGCTATAACTTTTAAGTTAGTGAGCAAATGTTAATGAAATTTGGCAGACATTACAATGCTTTCATACGCAAAATATCAAATTTTATATTAAATCTTAAAGTTTGTAAAGCAATGTTTTTCTCATGTCTTTTTTTCACTTTTTGTATGTTGACTATCTATCACACAAATTAATATTCATTTTAAGATTAAGAATACTTTTGTATATTTTATCTATTAGTTTTAGTAATCAATCTCTGTACGGGTTCAGTAGATTTGACCGATTTCGCAACCACCATAAAAAATTAGGAAATATACATATATATTATGCCTCTTTCTTTCTAGAATGAACACAAGTTATAACACAAAAACATAAATGTTTAGACTAAATAGCTTAAATCTTATAACATTATGTATTTATATATATATATTTATTTATATATTTATTATTCTTATTATATTGACGTTCTAACCGTGCTTGACTAACAATACAGAAGTTACAATGACACGGCGCACGTGCACTCATGTTACCGTATCCAATAATATATAACTCACCTTTAGTCTTTACAAAGTGACCTGTCTTGGTTGTATTTTAGTGAACTAGTATTTTGTAAAATACAGTCACATTTCAATTATTATACATTACATATGTGTAGAAATTATTGCTATTTACAAATAAGCTCTTAAACTTATTTTTCTTAAAACATAGAATAGTAACTAAAGAAGTAAAGCAAACAATTATCTCCTCTAGTTATGACCTTTGTACTTGGTTGTTGCTTGATGTAGGTTGCTAAGCCTTTAAAAAATTTGCACGTTGAGGATATGAAACAAAATATTTTTTTAGGTTATACACAGCATGGTCACAAGTAAATATTTCAGAAAAAAATGAAAATTTTCAGTCATATTCACATGAATTGATATATTTATAATTTAATTAATATCTAGTAGATCTTCCTTTCACTTCGTGGAGTTCGTTGATCCTTTGGAGCATTGTGAGAATCATCTGGTCAATTTTACATTGTGGGATTTTTGCCCACTCTTGCTTCAATACTTGGAGTAGATCGCTCTTCGAAGTTTTTATTTTGGTTGTTTCTTGACTTGCCGGTCGAGTATGGTCCATAGGTTTTCGATGGGGTTCATTCAGGAGATTGGCTCGGCCAGGGCAACTTCTGGATACCATTTCTTCCTGCAACTTTTGGGTGT